TAGTGAAGTTATTTGAATTTGGAACGTCTTGTATCCACTATGAAATGTAATGTAAGGTACGAATGTGTTTGTAACTTACCCACGCGTAATCTCATTTGTAGCTGATCTAACACAGAGAGTTACAACGCTCAGATGATAACTATATTTTAAGCTGTTTAAATATAATAGGACAGAGAAAATATTAGCAGCATTGAGACGAAAATATCAAAGGAATATACTAAAAGCATGTTTCATATTTAATTCATTCGCACTACTACAATTTTAATATTCGAAATTCCAAGTTATTTTTTTTCCTTCACTATAAACAAAACAAAGCTCTTATTATAAAGTAATTAAAAATGTGCCAACACGAGATTCATCAAAAGACTAGTCGGCCTAAATTGTCTTGTAAGTACCGCGGGCCGGCGGGCGCCCTCTAGCGGCGGCGTGTGACGACAGGAGCGCCGACCGATCGGGCGACCGGTCGCGGGTCGAGAGACCAGTCGAGCGACCAGTCGAGCGACCGGTCGAGACGTTTCCGCTATAACGGTTTGGGGAAATAAAACGATATTGTGAGCTCAAAGAGACAGAGCGTCATTAAGTTACAATTTTGTATCTTAAGTTTAATTATTCGTTCGTATCCTCAATTGCTGTTATCATTTAAATTCACTTCTCATTAACATCGTGATATTTTGAATGTTTAATTGAAACTTAAACATGGCCGACGGCTTGTTTGAAAAAAAGTTTAACTTGACGATTTCATAGGAATGTAAAGTCGGACAATGTCTCAGAAATGTAATCTTTGGTCGAGTTACTTAAGAAAAAGTTTTGAGTAAACAATAACAGAATAAAAAGGTCAGAGTTACGTGATTATAATTATATCAAGAATACATTAAAGGATTTTCATTATATAATAATGGTAATAATATTAATAAAAATATATTTTTCACTTCTTTTCGAACAAATTGAAGAATATATAAGAAAAAGTCATCGAGAAAGATAAAGAAATAAAAATAATTTTAAAACGGACTTTTTAAAAGTTTGTAACATTTATATTGAGATGTTTATTATTTAAATTACAAATAAAATGTTTAATACGAGTACAGTACGCATTGTTTCGTCGTATATAACAATTTAAGTACGAAATTTAAAATTGATATGATTTATAATTCTACTGCGCCTTAATTGCGCCAATTTGTGAAGATGTAAGGATGTTTGTTGCTCTTTAACGGAAAAACTAATGTATTGATTTTGATGAAACTAAACAATAATGTTACTTAGATATCAGAATGAGACATAGGCTGTAATTTATTCCTAAAATTAGTAGGATTATCATACAAATTTTATTTGGTGTGAAGTCATGCCAGTCAGAGTAAAGATGTTGATGATTTGTTATCATACATACACTTTTCTTACGTCAATACATATGAGAGCAAAGTCACGGGCAAAAAACTGTTTGTATTAAAATAATTCACAATAAATATTATGAATCAAATTTAAAATAGGATTAAAGCATTTGATGTATTTCATTTTTAAAATATCCATCACAATTCAGTTGCAAAATTTAAAAAAAAAACCAAACGTCAAGTTATTTAAGCAGAAGTTATTTTAGAGAAATCTAGATATCACTGACAGATACATCTCAGATCTGTTGGATAAGAAACAGGAGAAATCGTTAACTCTATGTACATTAATATATTTTTTTAATTGGTTTTAACTTAAAGAGGAATATTCTTAAAAATATTGAGTAAAAGTTAAATTTGAAGATAGTTAATCCAATTTAATTGATGGTTTAAGAAATGATAGTGAAAAAGTATCAAAATATTTTCAACGATATTATATTTAAGATACATAATATAGTCGATTATATATAAGTTATAGTTCCGCTTATGTAATGTATGAGTGAAATTCACATACTACACTTTTTAACTAGTAGATACACTTTTAATATAACTGTCTCGTTTTCTTTACTTCAAATGTAATACTTGTAGCATTAAAAAAATACATATTTTTTTTTTATAAAATAAAAAATATAACGCACCAAGAAATCAAAATTACAAAGGAGCCTTTTTTTATACACATTTATAATTATAACAATGGCTAGCATCAATACAGAATATATACGAACAAACGTTTTGTATCTCCATAGAACATATAGACAAACATGCTAGTGATAGGCGAACATCAAAAAAAAAACCGTATACGGTAATTGAAAATACCGGAAAAATAATAATTATCACGTGCGGTCATTTGGCCGCTCTAACAAGCTTTCATTACAGAGCATAGCATATTGTAAAGACACTTAATATACACCTTATATATAAGAAAATAAAGTGTATATTTAATTATCTATCAGCGAGTATGTAACGTTGGTATTACTTATTAGTCCATTCAGCGGTTTCAAATAAAAATCTTCCTAATAACAGTGTATCGAATTTGAAATCTGTTTAATATGTAACGCGAATTATCGTAACAATATGCTTTAGTAATAGATCTATATGTTTTATACACCGGTTTTTTAATACCGGTTTTATACATATAATACTTAAAAATGACATGGCGTCCCTAATGTCTGTAAGCCTAGGACGAGTTGATACTCTTGGTTAAAAACCGATATTTTTGTATCTGTATATTTGTATTTTGAATGTTAAATGTATAAATATAATAGAATATTAATACAAATCGGCTAAGTCATAAGTAGAAATTGAATATTTCTTAGAGACACATATTATGCTTTTAAATAAAAGATTACCTACATATGAAATAAAGTTTAACTCTAATATAGTGTAATACTTTCATTAATGTATAAACAGCACGACAGACGATTGTTTTATAAACTAAACACTATCGAATGGCGACCGTGGGCTTGTTATAAAATATTACAAAGAATAATTACTTGCACTACATTTAACGCTTTACCGTCATATATAACATATTAAATTTATAGAATAAATGTAAGATAACTTGTAAAATATATCACTAACTAGATTAAAAATAATTATCAAATTAACAGTAAAGTATTGGCGATCAAACAAATCTAGATAATATATTCTGTATTATAATGATATAACTTACTGATCGATTACATCGAGGCGTCACCGAAAGCTATAATTCACAATATTATATATATAAACGTTAATATTTAAACAAAAAACATAAAACACACGAAAGAACTATTATTATTACGGGTTATTCGCACACCTGACAACGCCATTGTTATTTTGACATGATTACTTTTTAAATTACGTTAAACGCCACAAACGCCAGGAGTTCAGTATGTGGTTTTTTTTTATTTCATTTTAATTTATAATAAATAATATAGTGTAATTAATGTAATAATAAATTTATTTGAATAAATTTTATTTTGTTATATGAGATAAGACAAACAAATCCATTGTGTTAGTACTTGGGACGCATAATATGGATTTTAGTCTGATATGCCTGCACCCTATTTCGCTAGACGCTCACCGCCCTTTAGTTATTTCGCTGTAGACAAAAATGAACCGTATTCCAACAATTTAAAGTATATAATCGCTTGTATGGACTCAACTTTCTTTCCTTCATAGCAAAATATGATTGTCGCTTTAATACAAGTAAAAACTTATTTAGTCCCGTCGATGCAAACATATTATTATAATATCGAAGCAAGTTTATTTTGTTTTAATTCGATTTTTATACGGAATTTAAAAGTAATCATACAAGTACAATTATTGTAAATTAATAGTTTTTCTTATGTATGTGATGTATCTAGAATTTTAAACAAACGTAATAAAGATGGCGTGCTGTTTATGCTAACTTGTTTTATTTAATAAAAGTACCGTTAACGATGAATAAATTATTAAAACAAACTTTATATATGGCACAGTTAACTTATTATTAAAATAAACTGATTTAAATGTAAGGAATATCGCTTTAGCTATATGTTCAGTGAAAGTAATTTTTTAATATGTTTAAATAATAATATGTATTTCTAATTCTTATTTCTTCGGTCATTTGCTTTTTGTTTTATTTAAAATCTATTTTTTATCAAATTAAAATCTATGTCCTGAACAATAAGGACAAAATTCAGTTAACGTGGCAAATGACAGTTTTTATTCAGCAAGACAACACGTCATTAATTAAAGGACGACTAATGAAAAATTTTATTGAAATTTTTATAACTGTAAAACAAATAATGGAGGTTAAGTAATACTAGAATAACCGGAAACGCTTTATTTAAAAGGATGTCAATTGACACATGTCGCAACAGATATATCCTGATACTAGACGGTACAGGAGAGACAGTACATTATCATGGTTGAGTTTTATAACAAGAAAGTATGAGCTTGTAGATTAATTGCAAGGGAAAGTTCACTATCTAACACTAATTTCTTTGTCCGCACCATCGCATACCAATTGGTTACGTCACGGCAGTCACGAATACCCCCCCACCACCCCCCCTCCCTACCGCCCAGAGCCCTACGCTATCAATCATTAGCAGATTAATAATAAAAGTTTTTAAACATATTGTCCGCACTCGATATCAAAGGTGTCGTAAAACAAACAAGTAACAACCATCCCCGCGATAACTATGAACAAGTTGCATTCCGTTTGTCGTTCGAATGTGGCCCTTATTAAAATAATTAGAACGTGCTAATTTTAACAATCTTATTATTAGACGGCAATATAAAACATTGCCTGCCAGTCTGTTGATGTGTAAACAAGCTACAGCGAGGCAAATATAATCCGCGAAGTTTATTCCGACGAAAAAAAATCAGCATCGAAACAACAAAAGTTACGGCTCCACTTGAACTCATAATAATTACAAACGTCGGTGAGGCTGATGCGATATCAATTAGTGCGTGCCAGATGCCTTGCCACGGAAACCAGTTTCGGACCTTATTATTTGATTAATCTCTCTTAATAGACATGTGTGTATGAAGAAAAAAAATAATAGCCTCAGAACTAAACGTCGAACATTTGCCGAGTTAGAAAAAAAAAAAAACATTATCATCGTACCTACCTGGTAATTAGACAAAGAGCTGGATCGCGTCGGTGACACGATACACAAACATACACTAACACATCGGGAGCGAGTCGCAGGACGTCTACCCGCGACCGATTATCGACAGAGACTGAGCCGGCAGCCGACAGCCGTGAGCCGTGAGCCGAGGGCCGAGCTGGCTCCCGGTGAACCAGTCGGGCACGAGTCTGCCTCCGAACAGCTGATGGCCGTCCGCGCACCTGTGAACCATAAAGACGCTCTCTTTCCCGCGTACGCGCAGACCTTATTGTAGTGGAATGAACTCCGTGTGAACGCTGCTCACTGCTCACTGCTCGTATACTCTGTGCCGACTACACGGCTACTGTCAACGTCACGATGACGTCACGGAACATTCTTTATACACATTTTGACAATACACTCGTATGAGTGTATACACTAATAATAACATAAAAATAATTTATATTGACCTAATTAAATAATATTAGATTATAATCCTTTTCTTGTGAAATACATTTGTAGTTATGTTCGGCGTCGAGTATGACTGTATCGTATCTTGTACATTTGTTATATTTAAACAAATCCAACAACAAACATGTGGTTATCGATGCACTTTCATTATAGAATAAAATTATAAGATTATAAGAATTAATAAAAGGTAATTAATATATTCTATGAAACAAAAGATTTTTAAATAGTTATATCATGTTGAATCTACTTAGTTGTATTCCCGAAATTCCCTAATGCTTATACATTGAACAAGAAGCCCTACATGAGTTTTAGCTTGTATATGAGTACGCTCGTCGGCATGTATGCAGTATGTAGTACATTCAGAGTTGTCAATATAAAACAGTTATCACACTTTCACAGGCATTCCATAATAAGAATAATTCTACTGAACGTTTGTGTGTCACATTATATTATAATATATATTCCAAGTTATTAAAGTAACGTTGCCTCGTATCTTAAAAAGTATAATCCTTTGTTAGTACATAGTATTATAAAAGTTAAATATGGCTTCTGTGTGTTAAATCTGATTTAGTTTTTTGTCACAATGCATCGATAGCGTAGAAATGTAACACTTTCAAAACAACTCGAGAGACAGAAACTTGTGCGAACGAAACTGATGAAAGTGTTACAGTGTACGTCGACATAAGTTACGTCAATTGTTATATCGCTGTTTCTTTATGTGCGAGTGTTTCAACGATATAATTAATTAAGCCGTAATTTATTATTAAATAAATAGCTACCAGGCGCCCATGACGTATGAGGAGTATCCCCGAACTTGTTGAACCGTAACTGCAACCGCAAGCAACGGCCTTACGAGCGTGACCGGTCTTATCATGACGGTGCAATGACTTTCACAGTTTAATGTAAATCGAAGTACCAGGGCATCATAAGACCGTAGAGACCACTGTCTACCGACACTCGGAAATGATTCGCTATGATTTTATTCATATTAGTACAATGTAATTATTGAACCGTAAATTATATCTTTTACAGTTAACACTGTAAATTGTTTACTCTTCATATCCGGTTGTTTATTGAGATCGGAATAATAATTTCTCTATCATATTATTAACCGAGCCTTTTAAGTCGAATATCTTTAACTAATATGCATGTAAGCCATTAAATAATCTTTTATACGTGCGGTATTAGATTCTGTGAGTACGGTACACGTATGTCATTAAAATATCTAGTTTTTACGAGTGTCGTAAAGACAGCGCCGCAGCCGACCGGAACCGAACCCACTGGGATCAAGCACGTGTAATGGAAATCAAATTTATTGACGTCGGAATTACATTAAAATTTATAAATATTATTATTAATCTGTCAAACGTCATGAGTGGTTTGACGTTTGACAGATGTCATACATGTAAATGAAAGTGACATTTAATTTTTTTTTTAAATAATTTCACGAGACGACGAACGATAATTATAATGAATAGAAAAAGTTAATTCTAAATTCATGTAAATACTCGTGCTCTATAGTAACGGCGGTCGTAATTCGAGCGAGGTTGAAAGCGAGGTCGTTGACTATCTTATTGTCAACTTAAAAACTGATCCTCGCCGAAAGAGAATATTTAAAACTGTACAGGACCGGAACTAGATAATATAATCATAATATATACTTTTTTTTTCGTTGTATTTATTTTTTATTTATTTTTAATTGTGAAACTGAATCGTTTTTAAAAGTATTCCTTAATATAATATAAAATTCGATTGTTTGTTGTTTATGAAAAACTGTATTTATATTGTTTAAACGTAGATTTGATTGTATCAAGTATTCTCACATATACCTTAAATAAGGCTCGAGAATAATATTAAGACGTAGTTGGTATGGAAAAATATCTCGCAAATATTAAAATATTTACAGGGTGACTGGTGAATTACTATCAATATTTAAGGAGGATACTCGGTACATGATTCTCATTCGAATTATGTAAAAAAAATAGGTACTTAATTTTTGACAAAATTTCCGTATAAATAAATAAAGTGTTGACACGTTCCAAGTGTTCCAAGCGTGGACGTGTGCGGCGGCGTCCTGATACAACACTACGCCGCCGCCGCGTCTGTGTGAGTGTATGTGTATACCTAATCTGTAGGGTGTTCATACGATGCGTAATTAATTACATAACTTTTGGTTAACTTTACTTAGAAGTTTATTAATATTTATGTTATATTAATTTTTATTTTGTCATATATGATCGTCACAAATCACGTCCTCAAATATCGATAGTAATTCACCAGTCACCCTGTATATTATCAAGTACGTGTAATTAAAAATGAAAAAATTAAGGTCTGTAAATTTACAGTTACTACCGCTCAATACTAAATTAAAAAATACCTTTATTTTTAAATTATAACAAGAAAGTATGGTTAGGTTTTTATATATACAACAAAAGTTAGAATAATATTAATATAATATATTAGTTATAAAATTTTTTTTTTCATTTAATTAATCTAAATAAATAAAATAACTATAAAAATCTTAAATTATTTACAACTAACTAAAAACGACAAATTCATTTCATTCGAACGTAATGTTATTTAAGTCCACTCCATATATTTAGACACACAACAAGTAAAGGTTGTATTCTCAAACAATAAATACGTTTACATATGTAAATTTAAGAGTTTATTTGTAAAAGAGTCATAAATTCTTTATATTTATATACATATATATATATATTTGACTCCAATATATTTTTATAATGAACTTTCTGAACATGCCTAAGTAATAAATGAAACCTAATATAAAAGAGTTAATATAAATCTCAACGAACAATTGTTCGATATTTTAATTGTTGTTATTAAAATAATACTGCATTGAATTTATTCATGATCAGACGCGATTTTAAATATCCTTTTAATTATAAGTAAAAAAAAATATTGATTTAAATTCTATAACTATTGTTCCTGGCTTTGCTTTATACTAAGAAGAATTCCTATTTATATATTATACAACAAAAATATTCAAACCAAGTACCTAATAATAAATATATGTATATGTATGTATGTCTGTCATTTGTTCAGGTTAATACCCGAAACTTGTGAACTGATTTTGACAGACTTATAACTTATGTAAGGATGATTATGTTTTATATAATTTCAGACTAAAAATGACATAAAAATGACAAACACAACAAAATAATACGACGACTTATTTTATATTATAACAGATTCAGCTTTGGCTTTTAATATCTTATATTTGATACCGTGTTATATAAACCAGCTTAGTATATAAAGGACAAAAATATATGTATATATGTATATATTTTGCAATATTGTTTTGCCCAAAATTACTTTCGATATAATGACGTAATAATAATTAAATAAACTAATGTATATATAATATATAAAGTAATGATTCCACATACATAATTCTCATTCTCCAATATATGTAATTTATAAAAGGTTACGGTTACTTTGTGTATTGTGTCTTTTGTTCACGTTTCTTTGATATTTCGTCATCAACCTCACAGCGCCTCCTACGATTGAACTTCAGACGTTATTACACGTCGAGTGCTCCCTCGAAAATGTTATTTATAACAAAAAAAAGAAATATATATAAAACGAAATAATATTAATGAAATCTACTGGCTGTATAATGAAGATCATGTCATGTGACTTATTATGAAAATAAAAAAAAAAACAATGGCTATTCTTTATCATAATTAATTGTTATAATATATTAATATATAATATATGTCTACAGCACGTCTGGTGCAGCTAATTTAAAATGTCTCCGAACCCCTTTATTGTGAAGGCACCATTTCATGACTCTTTATGTGTTAGTTCTGCCAAGAAGTTTATTTACGACAACTTAAAATCTCATTTCGCATTACTGTCTAATTGATATAGAACAATAAATAAATGATACTTAATTACTAATACATTAAGATTCATTATTGAATAAATTATGTTGTATTTTGTGTGTTTTTTCTAATTTAAAACTGCCATTTCATTATATAAAACACATTTGAGACAATCTGTATGATAATAGCACGCCTGTTTGAGTTGAAGAACGATGGATCGTTATAATGGGGGACATAAAATACCTGCGGCGACAAAAACAATATTGAAACATAGCTCTATATATACCTATATATACAACTTATTACTGACTTTGATTTTATACATTAAAATATTTTCCATATAAAAATTCTATTACAATAAATACGTGGGACTTTCCAAATAGTACAATTAGTGGGTATAATTTTTAATTTAATCGACCTATAATTCGTTTTATTTGAATTATACAATTAATGTATATAACAGTGACTATGTATAATGGAATTATGTATATATGAATAACTAAACATAAGAAATTAAATTTTAAAGTATTTCTAAATTTACACAATAAATTACATCGGATTAAATTGCTCCTGATAGGGACGACACGAATTTGACCTACAAACATGAGGAACTGGATTGAAACACGAAAAAAATAAAACGATGACGTCACACAAATATAACACATATATACTAAAAAAGATTATTTGATTTGAAAAGAAAAGTATTATACATTGCAATTAACAGAACGGAAACATGATTATTTCTTATAATTATAAGTATGTAACATTAAAAACATTTTATTAACAATTAAACATTTAAAATATAGATTTGAATATATTAACAATTTCTTTAACATATAAGTAGTTCCAATAAAGATTTACCTCTATCCTGAGAAGTCAATATAAAATTAATTAAAACGAAAATTACATATAATATAATATAAAATACTTAATTTTTTTTATAGACATTGTTGTACTGTAATTAATAAGAAAGTGT